AACCACTAGAAACTAATAAATGGGCCTAGTGTCATTTGAGTTGTCAACAGGATATAAGCTGATGTAAGGGGAACACCTACATTTTGTAGGCTTCTTTTGCATGAATAAATGTACCGTTGATAGTCATGCTTGACTTTGTAGGAATGTTTTGAGTAAGGAATATAGACATTTCCTCCACTGCAACAGTAATGATCATCAGACCACTAAAAGACACTCTATAGGCATGCCTAATTCTTGAATATGATATTGCTCAGAAATCTCTGGTTTACAGTAAGAGTTCTCACATACTCCAGTTTTGTTCAGTGAGACAGCTAGTAATAGAAAAATCACAATATTGAAAACTGTCTCTGTGATGCAAAGAGTGGATGCTAAAACACATGGAAGAGGGAGATATTATTTCATTTAATAAACAGAAAATGCCTTTGAATTAAATTGCAATTTTTCAGTGCATTAAAGCCAATAAATGCGCTGTCTAAAGTGTGAAATTGCATTTTTCTATATATACATTTATAAATATAATGCATATATTTGTATAACAATAGCAAAACCTTCTTAAAATAAAATAAATCAAATTCTCAATTGATGAGATTCTATTCTTTGTCCCCTCCCCTCCCAAGTATGTGCTGTGAGAGTAACTATTTCAAATAGCTGCTTTGAGGTGGTATCAAGAGGCAGAGGTTCTTATTACCCTTCTGTCATAAATACAGAAACTATGGATGAAATATGAGTCTAACCAAGGGCAAAGGCTTGACCACAAGGTTTGAATCTGCTAGTTTCAGATCAAGAACTCGAGTGACAAGATACCAATCTATTTCTTTGTTTGGTTCTGCTTCTGCTTATCATTAATATTTATCTGCATGATCAAAGAAAATCAAACCCGGTTACAGATCCTTAGGATATATAAATATAATGGCCAGTCTTCGCGAACGAAGATCTGGGGAAAGGTCTTTTACCTTTCCAGCCTGCGCAATGGATTTTTTTAGGTGAGACACAGCCTGCGCTGAACTGAGCCCACCCTTTAATCCTAAGGTTCATCTGCCGGGGCCAAGCACGCTTGGACAATGGCAGTGAGGTCCTCAGGACGTAGGTTTGTTTAGAGTGACCTTCTCATAGATGGATGGCCTCACAGGGCTAACGGGTTCCATCTGCCCGGGAGACCGAGGAATCGAACCCGGGTTGCAGCAGTGAGAGTCCTGCATGCTAACCACTAGGCCACCAGGGGTCTCAGATCCTTAGGATAAAATGCAGTTTAATCAGTTTCTGTAAGTTGAAAAATCTCAAATTTTCAGTGAAAGAACAGTCTGACCCTCTTGTATGTTAAATTTTGAAAGTTTAACACAAACATATAAGTGTACCTCATCCCCTCCTGGAATTACAAGATAAAGCACAGATGATCCCCTGAAAATGTAAGTTACAATCTGCTCAGAGAATATGTGCTTTTAAACAAAGGCAGAGATTTCCCTGAAAAGGGAAGCCAAGTAACTTGCCTGTGTACACACTTACCAAGAAGAAATCTGTGCCACATTCTTTTCAGTTTGGAATAGGAAGTGTATGTGGGAAGGATTTTTCTAGAAATATATCAGCCTGTTTGAAAAAAGGAAGTAGAGAAAATCTCAAAAAGTAGCAGGATTTTTAATGATTTCTGCTATTAAAATTTAGATAGGGTTCTGATAAAAATTCCAGTGAGCCTTTGAGCTATGCTTTTGCTCATTAATTCTCTCCTGTTCAACAGAAAGAAAACACTGCACTGTTCAGTATGAGCATTAAACTTATGTCAAGTTGATCTTAAAAAGACAGGCAGTCTGAGGAAACTTGTATTTAGAGCTAGGAAGGACAAGTTCATTGTCAAGAGCCTCTTTTCCTATAATTTGCCAAACCCAAACACAATAACAAAGAAGAAAGCCAAATGTCAGAGATAAAACAGAAATCTTAGATTTCTTTCACACTGAAATTGAGATAATAAAAGAAAACATGAAGAGTACACTTCATTTTACTACAGCAATGTTTCCAGTACACCTGAGATTTTGCAGTGTGGACTGGCGTTTGGTGGGATCATGCTAGAGTATGGCTGAGAGGAACAACTGACATTAAACCAGAATTGCTGGTGCAACGGGAGCCCCTCTAATAACTCACAGGGTATGTTTGCATTTGCAGGGGGAGATACAGCCGTCTAAGCATGGACTGACCTAACCAAGGCAGCTTAAGCCCAGTGGTGCCGCAACAGCAGCAGAGACTTCAGCGCAGGCTTGCTCTGGCTGCCCCTGGGATTCCAGGGCAGATCCGTACAGCCCACGTCGATTGATGCTTTGCTGACTTGGTTACAATGTCATTGGGTACTCGAGCTTGGCTGAATCAAGGCAGAGCTGGAGCTGTGATCATTCATAGCACATCCTAACTGCTGTGCAGAGTCCACACAGCTTACTCTGGGCTCTGCTGGTTCTGGCAGTGGGAAGAATCTTCTTTATACAGCACATCTCTGGCCATGGCTCCTCTTTCATCAGACAGACAGCATAACAGAGCTACTATGCTGGCTTCAGTCCAACCCAGCATTCCTCTGATGTGAAGGGAACTGCTGAGCTGTGGGCTTTCTTTGGCACTTTGGTATGGAGGGATGCAAACCACCTCAATTCCATGTGATCCCTTCCTGCATCCCATGTTAAGACAAGGTGCTTATCAGAACAGCTTTATTGGAAGCCCTGCTTTTTTGTTTTGTTTTGTTTTTTGTAATGTTTTCCTTTCTTGGCTACAAAGATGGATTTCCTTAAAAAATAACTAAGTTTCCCATTGAAGAACTATCCTAAGCAGTTATCTACTCTCTAGCACCAATCCACTTGTTTGGTTCTTTTTCACTTACTTGCATGCAGCAAACTGACTGCTCTGGGGATTCCATCGCATGAATTCTGTGCCTTTAGTGAGAAACTAGCTGCGCAGTCTTCTCTATCAGTTGAAATGATAGCATGATATTATTCCTTTGGCTCTGATTTCAGTGCAGACATGGTTCAAGTACCTGATCTATCTGTCAGCAAATGGGCCTGTTCCAAGCCCATGGAATTCAGCAACAGCCTTTCTGCTTGTTGGCCACACCACAATTAAATAAAATTCTAACACAAATAAATCAGAATATTTAACTGGATGTAAGAATGCAAAATGGACAGGTCTCACTCGAGGAGGCTTTTTTGCCATCATTTTAAAGTCATGTCTCTGGAAGAAGAAGAGGTAAGGCTTTAGGCCACATCATTGTTAAGTCTACCTTACATCCAAGTATTACTCATACAGTTTATCAGAACAATTATTTTTCCAGCTCCTAACTACCATACACACCTGAAAGAAAAGACTACTCAGTCCCTTTAATGAAAAAGAATGCTTAAAAATAGCAAGGTGGTAGTCATATAACCCAGTGCTCACTCCAGCTGGCAGAGTTCAGAACAGTAAGCATGTAAGTTATTACAGATGTTCACACCAAACAGTATGGAGGTTGCTGGGACAGAAGCACTCTCTTCCAGTTTTAGTTCTTAGATGTATGATTTTTTTTCCTCCACCTCTTGAGGCTAATGTCCAAAGCAGAAAACAAAACAAAACTCCAAACCAATTCCCATGTCTAGCTTCATGGCATGTCAGACAGCTTAGTGAGGCTGGGGTTGCTGTTTTGGGGGTTTTTATGTTTTGGTTTGGGGAGTGGGGGGGATGATACACACTCTTGAATTTTTCAGTGGAGCTGTCTCTAGATAATGTGTGTGTGATTTTAGGTGGTCAGTATTTGCCCAAATCTGCAATCAATGGTTAACAATGAATTCATTAGTAACAAAGTTTGTCCATAGATTTTCTTGGTTTCCTGTAAACCCAAGACCATCTATTCATACAACCATGGGAATTTTGCCTTTGCTCTTAGTAACAACTTTTACATAGTACCCCCATAAACCCACCCTTCCCTACCTGTTTACACACACAGCCACTTGCTTCTTTTCTTTAACAAAGAAATATTTGTGCTCTGCCCCTTAAGTCACGTTCACCTCTACAGCTCTTCCCTTTACCACTCCCCTGTTGTCATCAGCCATTTTATCCTCATCTCCACTTCTTCCCCCAGTTGTTGTATTTTCCAACCACATCTCCCTCTTTCTCAAAGTTGTCAAGGTTCACCACTTAGGTTGCAATCTTTCCCACACCATCAGTGTGCTCACATCCTTCCCCAAACCTCGATCATTCCTTACTGCCTCTTCCTTGAGTCAGGAATTTACAGACAAGTAGTTACGGTTCAGGGATGAAGGCTATGTCAAATGTGGGGCACTGATGCATTTTCCGCTTTGACTGGTTTTCCTGGAGCAACCGTATGGCACCGGAAGGCTTGTCAGCCTGGTGGTGCTGATAATGTCATGGAGGAAAGTGGCAATGAATCCCAATCTCAAGCTTCCCCAGCACTTGGGAAAGCTCCCTTCCCTCAGGCAACCCTGCAGCCTCATTGAGGCCATCCTTCTCCCTCACCAGTTCCTCACCAGCAAAGTCAAAATATCTGGAAAGGGGATTATCTAGCGATTTGGTAGGCCTGCTTATGTACCTATTTACTGGGATAAGCAACATTATTTCAATTAACAGAGACTTCTAATGTGATGAAGTTAAGCGTACGTGCAATTATTCACAGAACGGGGGCCGGTGACTGCTGCCTCTTTGGAAAATGGCGGCGCTGCCCTACATTTCCTTGTTAGGACTGCTGTGGGAGGCTCCAGGGAAAACATGGGGGTTCACAGCTGAAGAGAAAAACTCAACCACCCCCTATAATATTAGACATCATCAGCTATAAGAAAACATAATTATTAAATTAAAGCCACAAGCTCATTTACTTAGTGACAGAAAAACCAGAATTGAAACAAATTTAACTCAGAGAAAGCCTTAAGGAAGAATCTGTTATAGGGTAATTTTTCAAAGACTAACTTAACAGAAGCTTTCAAGCAAGATTTCCAGAAGCCCATACTTTAAAAAAAACCCCAACAATACAAAGCACATACCTTTGGGCACATACCTGGGAGATCTGTGCTGCTTGGGATGGAGTTTCCCTCCCCCTGCTCTCCAGTGCCACGGCACCTCAGCACAGGCTGGCCGGGGCTCACCTGCTGCCCCACAGGGTGCAGTCACCCAGGGCCTGACGGCAGCTCTGCTTGGCACAGTCGGGCACAGCCCTGCTGGGGCTGCCTGGGTGCCCACAAAGGAGCCCTGGCCTGTGGGCACAGCGGTGGGTGAAGTCCCCAGACGAAGCTGCTCAGGCCCACTGAGACCCATCAGTGCTCTGACATCATTTTACAGGAACTCCCAGAGGGGTCAATTAATACCAGTGCATGGTCTGTCACTGCTGCAAAATGGCTGCCCCCCAGGGCAGCAGGAGAGCCTGGGCAGGCTCACAGTGCCTCAGTCGGGGCACTGCCCCGGAGGTGGTGAGGTGTCACTGTCATGGCTGTGTGCTTGTCCCAACGCCTCCTCAGGAGCCGTAGCCCAGCAGGGTGAGGTGTATGAGGTGTATGGCTGTGGCATGGCAGACAGGCAGGAGGGAGGCCTTCCATTTCCAGGAGCTTATCCTAAAGCCAGCACATTTGCTGTCTCCTTATAAAGAAGCAAAATGAGAAGCTGTCTGTCCTTCCTGAGTGAGAAGGAACTAACTTTCTTGTAGTTCCCAAATCTGCCTTTCAAATCCATTTTCCACCCCCAAAAATGCTCCCTTTGGGTATGTTGCTGGCTGTCCACAGTGTGCAGTGACAGGCTCTGCCGCATGAAGCTCTAGCCAAAGGGTATTGCGGACTACATGTTTTTACTTTGTGGGATTGTTTTGTGAATGATATCCTGATGTCTTCTCAACACCAGGAGTTCCCAGACCTCAGGCAGAGGTGAGACTCAGGTATCCCAGAGAAATCCCTGATAGTCTAGTCCTGGCTCTGCACAGGTGTAGGGGATGCCACCTTTCCTTCTCTGACTATAAACAGTGACATCAAACTGTTTGCTCTTTCAGAAAAACAAACAAACAAAACCCAAAACCAAACCAAACCAAACAAAAATTAGTCTATTACAGGACTCTCCCTATGCCTCTCTGTTAATGTTGCACAATAATTTCCACTCTAACCCACTCTTCTCAGTCACCCACCTAAACTACTCGCTCAGACTTTCACCCTTTCGGTAAAAAATTTCCATGCCTGGCTTCTGTGTGAAGCTACAACTTTTTGGAATTATGAGATAAAACTCGCTTCTGAGAATAAGAGGAAAGGAAAACACACTCCCCTGTGTCAAAAATCCCCGACCTTAAAACAGAATAAAGCAATTTTAGTGCTTTTTCAATGCTCTGGGAGTAGTGTAAGATAAAAAAAAAAAGCCATTATAAAAAGAGTCTTGTAAAAGAGCAGAATTTTGCCTAGGCTTAAAGACTGCTGGGTTGGACTTGACATGTGTCTGCATGCTTTAGTAAATAGCTAGAGTATGTGTTTATATACTTTTATTTAGAGAGAGCATAAAGTGCATACTTTTGACATTATGTATGCTTTTCTATATATGTTTATCCAAATATATAGTAAAAATATGCATAATTATGTATGTCTGCACTGTGTAGATACAGATACTGTATATGTAAGTTTGTAAGGTGCCTATTGAGAATCAAATGCCTGAGAGGAGGAGGGGCAGTGCCCGGCAAAGGCACAGCTAGATGTCTGCCACACATTTATCGAGTTCCTGTCTAGACTTTCTAAGGTAGGCAATGATTCAGAAAGTACAGTCAGGGACACTGACTGAGGGCCTGTTGAATTTCGTAGTTTTTCCTCTAATTATTTTGAAAGTTTTGGGACTTTGATTTCTTAAAGAAAGCAAACACCTGTGTGAGCGAGGCCTTGTTGTGTTTGCACATATCTTATATGTACCTCCCCCAGCTGCTCATCTCCTCAGCTGCCAAGGACTCCCACTTTCATAATCACAGACAAGCCAAGCTCAGTCAAATATCTACCAGATAGGATCTCTACTCAGAGCAAAGGATTCCTGTGCAAGCTGGTGGACTTTTGGCAATCTTCAGAAAGTGACATAATACCTTTTAAACTACTGTTTTTCTGTTTTAACTTTCTAAGAAATTCTGTAGAAGAATTTTACTAGCAGAACCTTGATCATGACTGAAAACTAGGGAGAAAATATTTTCCATGGTAAGTGGACCTACTCACTTGAAAGAGAAATTGCTCAAGAGACCATCCCAGCAGGCACTGTCTGCCATAGCCACTGATGTTCCCTCTTGCTTCCTCCATCCCTATTAGCTGTTGCCTCCAGGTAAGCAGTGACCTGGGAGAGATGTTGACTCCAACGATGTGCAGTCCCTTCAGACTGCGTAAGAGCACATTGTCATATCCTCTGTGTTTCCGCTGTTATTGACTGTCCCTTTTCTACATTTTGGGGCATTCTTACAAGTGCAGTTCTTCATAAAAACAACTGATTTGAAGTGAGACCTGATGTCATTGCTGACATTATGCTCTTTCCATTTTACGTCGTGTATCTATGGCTGTAACTAAAAATGGCACAGTTTTACATTTTTAGAAATAATATTGAGTCACATAATTCTCTCCTCCTGTTTACAGTTTCTTAGCTTCTCTTTTGCAAATATGAAAAGCATGTCTTTGACAAAGCTGTTTCAAGAAGAGACAGAATCTATTTTTAAAGTAGATTATTTGAAGCACTAATGGTTGGTCTTATTCTATTCATACTAAAATAAATCTTCATTTGTTTTTAGTGTTTTTTTTATTTAAATAATAAAGAAAAAGACAAAAAAAATGTTTGATCAGAAGTCCTCTGAACCATATAGATATGCTCGTCAGACCGTGGGTGTTCAGGCGCTTTCTTCTGTTCCAGGCTGGCAAAGGTCCCCTGTCCTGACTGTGCCCCTAATGGGGTGTCAGTCAAGGTTTTGACCAGCATAATTTCTAGAGTGTCATGAGATAGGGGATTTCTGTCTTTGGAGAGGGCACTTCAATCCAGAATGAAAACTGTGTCCTAATACAGTATTTTAAATCAGCATTAGCTCTATATGTACAACAGTTGTACAAATACTATTCAAATTCTCTTGATAGATCCTGAATCTCACAGATGCTTATCATAAACTCTTCAGTTCTGTATTTTTTGTTCTCTGACTGCACAACCTCATGACAAAGTGAAATATGGAAAAGTTGTCTTAAAATATCTAGCAAAACTTCAAACAAACAAAAAAGAAAAAAGAGAAGGCTTATAAAATTCAGTTGCTCTAATTCTCCAATGGAAGTATTAATAATAAGGAAGTTCAGTGAGCAAAGCAAAGCGTCTGGACTTCATACAGGAAGACTTTTTAGGATTAAAAAAAATTATTTTTCAAAAGACCCAACATTTTGGACCTTCCTGGTTATGCTTTCTGTGTTCTGCTTGCAAGGTACATATGCTGTATGCTAGAAAGAATGCTTTCTCATGAAGAGTAAACAGTTTTATAGAGATTAATTAAATTTATCAAAGTCACATGGATTTCTATTAAAGTAATCAAAACCTCCAAATTAAACATAAATTAATCACCTTGTTTAATTGGGATCTCAACAACTCTTTCATGGTTCTATCATTTTTGAAACATTATAAGCGATTTGTATTTGTGAATAGGATTAAAGAGGCTTTCCTGACCGATGGAGTTGAGGTGGAATGGGCTGATAACAAAGGATCTATTAAAACATCATTGGAAAAAGCTCTATAGTTCATGCATTGGCTCAGTTAATCTCTATAGATTTTTTTAATGCTGTTGCTGGAAGGATGATGGTGGAGAGGGAGAGAGAAAGAATGCAACCTTCTTTTCTGTACTTCATGGATCCTTAACCCTTATTTAAAGACGACTTTGGATTTTAGACCAAATAACTGTTCTTGTAATTATATCAAACAGTTAAAAAAAAAAGCTAGTTAATGATGTTCAACATAAGTAATCATGTTAAATAGTGAAATTTAATTTCTTAAAAACTTAAATCCCATATCTTTTGGAACGCATTGTACTGTAGGATGTCTGAGTAAATTAAATTCTCCCCTGCACACTAAAACATCAATTTCCTTATGGTAATTATCTGCTAGATTGGATCTGTCAGTAGCAGGGAAGCATGCCTGACATTATACCCTTTTTACAAAAAATGATTACAAAAAATTAAGACGAATGAGTAAAATTAAGGCTGCGGCTGGTAAGCCTATATAAAGCTCTCATAGATCACTTTACATAAGCTACCATTGTACTGGATACTAAGCTTTTAATGACTAGTTGCATAATGAGGTGAAGGCCATTAAAGAACAGCAGGGGTAAATGATCATAGAGATAAGAGCTAAAAAATGATTTTCAGCCAACTAGAAGCAATTTATTATACACAAAAACACAGGTCTAAATGAAATGTCTGGATGGATGAGGAACTTTTGAAAACTGACAGGATTTCCTTCCTGGGAAAGTTTTACAAATATGTTGGGAGCCTGTCTCTGTCATATTAGATTCCTTTTCTCTGCTCTTCAGGACTCTAGAATTGAGGAAGTGGGTTGGGGTTTTTTATTTTCAAAGATGGCTGGACTGTAGCAAAGCATTTCATTAGCCCACTTGAAAGGTAAATTATAGTGAGGAGTAGCTGATATGAAGGAAATTTATAGCACCCTGCCAGGAAGTAGTATATGGAAGAAGGTATGTTATTGCAAGTCAGCTGACACCCTGGGCTGAAAAATAACATCCAAGCTACAGAACTGCTTCTTTAGGGTTGCAAGGTACCATATTGCTCTCGGGGCAGTGCAAAAACGAGTATGTAAGTAAATTCTTTTGTAATGAGCAGTCACTCGAGGACGAACAGAAAAAAGAGCCTAAGTATCTTGAAGGTAGCGCAAAGTCAAATTTTGAGGTAACCTCATCTTATAGGGGAAACCACATCCCTAATTTTGACAAAGGGAATGTGGGGAAGAGTGCCTAAAGAGAAGCAGGAATGGCAAGCACAGGTGAAAACCTGAAGCTGGGCTGTCTGAAACATTTGGTGTGTCGCTACTTTAACCCATGTAGTGGGAGATAGATATATACATCTATCTATCTATCTATCTATCTATCCATCTATCTATCCATCTCTCTAACTATCTAGCTATCTACATACACATATATATGTGCACACACATACTAGCATACTTACTGTGTCTGTATAAAACCCTATTGTTTACTAGGAATATAGCCTTTACAACAAAAAAAAGTCTGCAAGAGTCTTTCTAATAAAAAAGAACCTGGGAAACTACTTTGCCTTCTTTCCTCCCTCCTTCCCACATCTTCTTTATGTGGTCTGGAAGTTCTGGCTTAAAGGTTTCAACAAGCCTGGATAAACCATAAACTGCCTGGAGGTAAGGGAGGTTGCTACTGACAAACAGGGTTGTCCAGAGGAGGGCCACAGATATGGTTGTGGAGCTGGAGCACATCATCTAAGGACTTGGGAACTGCGTTGCTTTAGCCGAAAGGAAAGGAGTCAGATGGGAGGGTGTAACAGATAGGTTACAGAATAGACAGAGCCAGATGTC